AAAATTCTTTTTTTATTTTCACATTTGGATTATTTTCTGGAAAGTCCAAACATTAGAGTGAATGGTTTCACCAAGACATTTAAACAATGGAAATCAGATATCAAGGACGATAGAATGTTAACATGATGGCGGACTATTTATTGTTGGATGCTGGAAAGTAAGAATTTGACGGCTAAAGAATGTGGGAGAAAATCGAGTAAAAGTTTTTGTCCTTTAGTTTTATGCTTTATATACCTAACGTTTTATTAATTTTTTGTAAAAATTTTATTTTATTTTATTTTAATTATTATTTTGAACAAATTATTTTGGAAATAATCGTGAAGATAGAATGTTAAAAATCAGTAAAAAATAAAAATGTTAAAATTGAATTTGTGAAAATTCTGACTGATAGAAATATTTGAAATCTGCGTGTTTGAATTATGCTAGAGCAATTAAAACATTTGAGACATCTAAAATTCGATGTTTGATGTATGTGGCCTAATCTCAAGAATATATATTCTGAGCCTCCACAATGTATTTTTTGTTTGTTTTATGTGAATACTTAACTTTAAGTATTTATTAGTATATATCTAGTTTTTACGTTCTAGTTGGACATACAAACAAGTTCATTTAAACTTCAAGTTAGAGGTGAGCGGGAATTGAAATATGTTCTCTCAATTTTGCTTGTCATTCTCGATTTCCTACCAAATTCCCATTTGTGACAACATTTTCGAATGTTCCCATTTTTCCAACTCATTTCCGCGTTTTCCCTCCCGTTTCGATTTTTTCCTATTTTGCAAAATTTTGAACACCAAAAACAAAATTTTTTTCAAAAAAGCATCTATCAAGATATTTAGTATCTAACAAAATAAAAATCCAAAACTTTTAAAAAGTATTAAAACGACAAATAATAAATTACAATTATAACAAAACAATTTTATACATGTTTATGAATATTTATACTATGTGAATTTCTAATGATATGCATATGTAAGTATGTGTATTTGTTTGTATATATTTTATATGAAATTTTTTTATTGCTCTATCTATTGCTCTCACGTGGTTATTTTTATGGTTAAGGCACACGCGCACGTAATTTGGGCATGTACATGTTGTTTTTCCCATTCCCGTCCATCATTCTAGAACAGTGAGTCTCTATTTCCTAAATTTTCCATTTCTACTTGACGTTTTTCAATCTTTTTAAATAACGCCGAATGCAAATTGAATTAAACAACCCTTCAATATCTCGCATGTTTTTATATATCCGTTTTACCAACACTTCTCGAACATCTCAGATATTTCACTATCAAAAGGTTCTAGCTCCTCGAACTGAGTTCGTAGCGACGCTAGCTCTCTGTCATGGTTTTAACAATGTTATTTTATTTTACATCTATTAAATGCAACTTTCTATACTTATAATTTTATTTTCATCGTTTCATACCATACATGTTTGACAGAGTTTGATTTACAGAATAAAAAAAATTATCTTAAGGTCTAAAGTTCGTTCCATAGATGAATTATCATGCAAATTGACAAAACAATTAGAAGAATGGGAATTAAGGCATAGCAAGCTGAATGAAAATTTCGAATCATTCAAAAAACGGTTGAATCAAAATTCTGAAATCCAACTGCAGGAAACTTTGAAACAACTTATGTCTGAAAAAGTTTGTTTTCTGAAAGTTATTTGCTTTAAGTCACTTGTTCTTGATGTGGTTATTATTATTTTTGTTGGTTCTCTTACGAGCAAAGAGATTCTACGGCCCTGCGTGTGGCAATTAGTCTGTGTGTTAAATTTTTCCGGAGAAGCCGATGCAGAAGTCAATTTCAGAGTCACATATCCATACTGTTGCAGCGTAGTTTTTTTTACGTAGTCGATTACATGCTAAGACTAATGATTTTTATTAAACATTGCTTTCGAAAAATTTAAACTTATCTTTGTTTCGCACCCATAAATCAAATCTATATATTTTATATGTTATTAAAACGCTCACCATTCGTTATATTTAATTGAGTTATATTGTTAACTCGGTTGTATTTAATCACTTTCTCTTGCGGAAAAAATTGAGGATATGAAACAACGAAATTTTTCTTGTTATTCATCTTTTATTCTTTTCGATCAAATCATACACATTATTATAATTTCTTTCAACCTCTTCCAGCAATTAACTCACCCACCAATTACTAATTTATATGTGCACAACTATTTATAATTCATCCACACACGATGCATGCAAAACAAATTCAACATTATTATATATATATATATAATTGAGTTATATTATAAAATTATTTGTCCTTTAATGTAAAATAAATGTAGAATATAGCATAAATTAAATGTATAGCTTAATGTAATATAATGTTATATAATAAAAAATGTAATATGCTTTTCAAATCAAAATGTCATGGAATAAAAATTCTGGAGTTATGGTTTCCTGCACATGCCGTCTATTTTTTGTGCGATGTGGGAGTTGGTGGTGTCCACGGCTCTGACAAGACAGTGTTTTTAAAACTAGACTTGACAAAGACATTGAGACCTCAAGACCAAAACATTCAAAGAACATGTCTCGACACATCCAACGACAAGACAAAAATTCAAGACAAAAACGAAACCATGACGTCAAAATTTAAAAAAAAATTTTTGAGAATTTTTAGATCTGAGCCGGATTTTACCTAAGTTTGAAAATATATATACACACTTATATATATATTTATTTATCTGCGTATGTATTGTATATATTGTTACAGACGCGAAACCGAGATAGGAACTAGTGGTTAGAAATTGCGTGAAGCGCTTGCGATTAAAACGGTTTTAAAAGTCACGATACACTTACTAGCAAAAGGCGTAAACAATTAAAACTATTGAAAGTCACGTGACACGGCGTATGTAATTATATAATAAGACCGACACGAAGAAAAGAAGAAAGAGAAAAAGTTTCACTCAGTCCTTTTATTGCAGAAATATTTTATGTGTGTTACTGCAAACAAATTAGGAAAAGTTTATCACGAAGAATTCATCACGCGGTCTGCGAGTGAATTACGATAAGATTAGAAGCGGATACTGAGGATTTACGGCCAAGAAACATCTGACGTGAAGAGCTTAATTATTGACGATTAGTTTTATCCCGTGATATATCTGTTGATTAATTAGTTATTGTGTTGTATTCTAACGATTTTAACGATTGAACAAACGAGTGATTGATCACAGCAATACACACAAGTGATTGCCAGCACTGTTTTCTTTCTGATAAAGTTCATCTAAAATAAGTCTGTTTAGGAGTCAAGAATCACGTGGAGAGAAATAATCATACCCTACAAGTTCAAGGGATCGGTTATAACAATATGCTGAATAATATGACGCGTGAATAATTACGATTGTCTCGCTTGGATCATCTGATAGATGTTATTCTTCATTATGTCGTAATTACTTTTAAATTACTATCAACAAACATTAACACTAAGCTCTATAAACAAGAAATTTGTTTTTTAAATTATGCTTAACATATTTATTGACAAAACTGCCCAGAGGGTAATAAAGAATCACTTAACCTGACTGAAAAAATTATAAATAAACAAATTTCAATAAAATGTACATAGACACGGAAAAATGAGTTCGAAATAGTTAACATTAATAATGACCATCATCCTTTCGAAATAATATTAAATAAAGTTAGATTAATTGTTAGTTATAATAATATTGATAGTTATAATAATATTGATAGTTATTTAATAGTTAAAAATTTGTTAAAATCAACAGAGAGCAGTTGATTTTTGAAAACAGCATATGAGGTTCAAGAGACGACATCTGCCTTGCCAGCAGATGTCGAATTCCAATGATTCGGTTGCAGAAGAAATATTTAGTTGAGTTGTCACTAAAATTGAAATCACGCAATTTACTTTGATGTCTCCGAGTTGATAAGTACAGTGATGTAGAGACGGGATAAATCTTGTAAAATACTTTCGATTTTGTTTATTTGGTATTTGTAATGTAAATTCTTCACAGATGAAGCATATTCAACCAGAGGATGTACGTATATGCAGAAGGCTTTGATAAGTATGTCTTTATCCTTTGAGGTAGATTACCCTTGCACGAGAGGAAGTTCTTGAGCAATAACGTTAATAAGAAAAGATCCTTACAGTGGTCCATGCGTGATAAATTATGATGACCAATCGAATATTGATGAGGAACTGTGTTAGATCTAGATCCATGCGTGATAAATCATGATGACCAATCGAATATTGATGAAGAACTGTGTTAGATATAGTCGAAGAAAGAAATGTGCAATGGGAACATTTGTCTGGAGAGAGCGGTAGCTGCCATTTTGCACTCCAAGCAATTATATCATTGATCACTTGTTGAAGTTTAATTGAGTTGGATGAACGACAGTACAATTTGATATCAGATAAAAGCAAAATCCTAACAGAATACCGTTTATGAAAATGAGGAATAGGGTGAGTCTCGGGACGCTACCCTGCAGCACACCACTAGTAACCGGCACAAGTGTTGACAATTTATCTTTAATCTTTTATCTTTTTTGAAGTCGTAGAAAAATATGTCACTGTTTTGACTGGTGTCCATCTCGTTCCGGGCAGTATAGCTGACTTCGAATGTGAGGCAGTTATGATCGCTAGAGGCTAACGGACAGGACATATTCAATTCTGTAAGTAGCCGGAATCATCGGATAGAACCAAGTCCAAAATGTTATCTCCTCGAGTCGGCCTGTCAACAAGCTGATGTTCGTGGAAAAGTTTAATAAATGTATTGTAAATAGAATTATTAGGTGCTGAGTAATTATCCCAGTTCATGTAACGAAGGTTTAAATCTACCATCAAGCAAACAACGTCACCTCCACAGAGTTCTTTTATACATCATGCACTATCGAAAGCATATTGTTTCACCGAAACGTCAAAACCACCACTACAATAGTAGGAGATAAAACGATAATTTTTACTTGAAGTAGGAACATCAATAGAGACAATCTCGATGTGAGAATACATACATAATACTGAAAAGACCGTAGGAAATGATAAAAGCCACGCTGCCACCACGTGCTCCACGATCTTTTCGAACAAAACCAGAAGGCAAAAACAAATTGTCAGAATCATTTGGCTTGAGCCACGTTTCAATAGCAGAAAATAATTCAGGATTAAAAGTTGACAAAAATAAACTAAGGTCATTTGTTTTCTTCTGGAGGCTACGAACGTTAGCCAGGGCGAAACAAAGGTGCCTATTTCTACTTAACTGAACGAAAGGGCTGATCATTTGCAGATTGATTGTTATTTTTTTTATTGAGATACGCTCTCTTTTGAGAAACGCTTGCTCTGCCTGCCTCTTGAAAAGATCTGGATTAACGTAGATATCATTTGTCGCTAGTAATGACCGGTGAATCCTCGATGATGCAATCAGGTCTTCAGCTGCTGATGAGTTGTTTAAAGTCACACACAATTTAGACTTTCCAATTCGATGTGCTCTTACAATCTGGGGTTTTACAGGAAGGTGGTTTTCACAAATTGACGAAACCATATCTTTGCCATTACCTCCTTGTACGAGTTCAAGCCCTGAAATGATGACATTCTTTGAGCGTTGCTCCTCATCTATTCGTTCTTCAGTTCAAAAAGCCCTTGTCATGGTTTCAAGCATGAAGCTGGCCCAGTGTGGACAAAGTAGCATGAAGCTGGCTCATTGAGTCTGTTACAGCTTTAGACATGCTGTTTACCGCACGCTCGAAACTGTTGCTTAAGGACTCAATTCTTAAAAAAGTTAATTCAAAGAGCTTATTCATTAAATTTTCAGAATCAGCAAGTAATTTACGTAAATTGTTGTTAGATTGATCAATAATTTTTGTTAAGTTATAGTCTAACTTATCTAGCAGCTTGTCCAGGTTGTTTTTGAAGAGCACAATAACTTTTTCAATACTTCCACTGGATTTTTCATAAACCTTTTGAAGACATTTATGGGAACTATAATTTGTTTTTTCCAGAATTTTTGTCATCATTGTCTCGAGATGCCATGACTAGTTTAAACTTAGTTCAAATTGTCCTAAAGAAACTGAAATTACAATTAATTACAAAAAAAGAGGAAATTCTAATGAATAAAGCGAAATTTAAATTACTATGATAGCTGCAAGATTTTAGTTAATATTTTCATTTTTTGGAAAAAAGAATGAAAAATTTATATTATTCGCAGGTTAATTACTACAAAATTATAATTTTTTTTCAAATCTTTTTGAAGACTGGCTTGATGAAACAGTTGGAATCTTTAAATCATATTAAACAACATTACAAAATGCAATGGACAAAGGCTCTTAAAATCATTGGAAAGTCTGTTTTTAATTGATCTTTTTTTATTTTTTATTTTTAAATAAAAAATTAGTTTGCGAATTCGATTTTTTCATTTTTAAAAGTGGCTTATTTTATATAGAATGTGCAACTAATTTCAAATTTTCGACCCGTTTATTTCGACACTTTTTTCAATTTGTCTTATCTAGATACAAGGAGCGTGATTTATATCAAGCTAGAAATAATTGCAAAAAACATGAAGATAGAGTAAAAAGTTTGAAGATCAAAATGGCTGTTGGGAAAGAAAAAGAAGCATTAGAAAATGAGAAATTAGAATTGATGGATGTAAAAAAACGCATAAATGGGTAATTAGATTAAGTATCATTTGTTTCATTTTTTAGGTGATTATAAAAAACTATGTTCGCAATCTTTTTTAAATATATCATTTTTAGTTAATATAATGTAATAATATATTAGTATATAAATGTAAATAATATATATATAATATATAAAATATATATAATAATATTTAGTATTTAATATAAAAAAGTGTGATATGTTATTATTTAATTAGGCAATAAAAAAATTTAACAACTTGATAATTTACATTTTTTCATCAATAATGTTTTTGTGACGTTTTAATTTAAACTTGCAAAAGTTGATTCTTCCAAAAAAAAAATTGGATTTGCATTTATAACAGAAGGATAGCGCTTGAAATTCCCGTTAACAAAATTGATGCAGACGAAGATAAAAATATTACATCAAATAACTTAGATTGTAACAGTCCCAGCAATAATCTGCGTGTGACTCGTCTAGCAAAAGAAAAAGATTTATTATTGCGGACAGGGATGTATACTGCTCACGATTCCGTCATTCTTAATCTTGACGACCAGATTAAACAATGTTTTGATGGTTGATGGTAAAAACCTTTCATTTATATATTCAATTGATTAATACAATTATTAATGTTTATGTTAACCATGATCTTTTATCATTCCTCTTTTGGGCGAGCTTTTCTTTCGAATGTTTTTCAAAAATTTGAACATTTGATTTTGCTAAGAAAAATTTAATTACTGCTAGTTTATTAATATTGACAAATAGAAGTTTTTTATTTGAAACCAAAAAATGAACATGTTTGTTTTATAGGTTGTCCAAAAATCAATGAAGAAATATCTTTAATGATTGAGCATGATAATATGCAACTTCCATCATTGCAGTTAGAACCATAACATTCACGTTACAATTTTTATAAATCAGAAGGGTTAAGAAATAATAAATCACGTCTTGTTTTTTTCGTCTTAAAAGTTTTATCGTTTTCAACGTGAGACACATGATAGTATTACGTAATATTATTGTATGCCTATCCGTTTGCTACGTAATTGGAGACACCTATTTATATTTGCTATTCTATTTAATAAGACTAAATTTAGCGAAAGATATCAAAGCGAAAATCGTTGAGAATGCTTAATTTTAGTTGTTAGAGTAGTGTAACATCTTTTGACAGACATTTTACTTTTGTGACGGTTTGTCAGTAAAAAATTTCCAGGTTTTTGTTTCTTGTTGTTTATGTACTTTTTTGATATAAAATTTTGCGACGGTTCAGAATACGCATAAAGCTTTCCGAATCACATGGCTAAGAGTCTTTGTTTTTTGAAATTTCATTACATAAAGCGCCTAATTTTTATAATAGTTTTGCCCAACAATCCTTATTGAGTGTGGAGCAAATTTTAAACATGTTTATATTTTTTCACCAACATGAAATTCAAAAGCATTTTGTTATTTACCAAATTTTAAGGCAATTAAGTGGGTAGTTTTTCAAATTTAATTTTCCTAAGAAATTCTAAGATAATGAATGAGAATTTTCATTTTCCGCCAATAAAAACCATCTATTTTGGAAGGCTGAGCTAACTCAAATTATAAATAAGATTGTTGTAAAAAACTATATTTACAAAATTTCAAGTCGATCACCGCCTTAAAATCTATCAAAAATCTTTCATCTTACAAACCGACCCTTTTGAACCTATACACTGCATCAATTAATTATACAGCCAATGAGGCCGGTACAAAAGCTCTGAAAGCAGCCGATTTTAAAAACAGCAAATATAAAGAATTGAACAATGACACTAAAACGTTTCTCCCCTTATGCACGGACTTTTTTATCCCATTCATCAGTTTCTGTCTCCTATCCATTGCGTCTGTCTCCTTGAGACTAAGTGCCTTCAAGTCCTCCTGTGTGGTGTGCGTTCAGGACTTTTTTGGGCGACCTCTTGGGGGGTGCCAGGCACCTGTTGGCTCAATAACAGAAATTATTGTATCGTTTTCGCTTTGCTTCACATGGCCATACCATCGTAGGCGATGACGACGACATGCATCCTCAACGTTCAGTCCCGACGGTTCAGGATCTCGGTTGTATGGATATGGTTCCTTAGGTCAACATGCTGCATCTAACGAATCATCTTCAAGTCAGTTTGGTGAAGCTGCTGTTCGAGTTTTGTTGTAATCGGCCACGTCTCTGCACCATACATTAGAACAGAACATATAGCTGTGTTGTATAGTTCTGAGCGCAGCGGTAGAGGAATGCTACGCCGCATCAGTACGGAGGCAAGAAGGTGCCATCTGCCCCACGCCGCACGTATGCGTTCACGAACGGCGGCATCAGCTGTTCCAGTACAATCCAGCATATCTCCCAATTACTGAAATAATGTAACAGTTTCGATCCCGGTAATCGTATCATTATCTGGGCTTCGTTGTCGCGGGTTGATGCAGGCGAGGCATACATAATCAGTCACTTTCCTCAGTGAGCCGGTAATTTTTGAGCATCGTCTGTAACACCACTGCTGGCATCGTAGGCATTTGATCGAGTTGCTCCCAACTCCAGCCCCACACACCGAACATGACCACAGGCTCAGCAGTATCACCGGTGATCATAGTTTTTGTTTTGCACCTTTAGCCCGTGTTCGACAAGCTGGGTATTTCAGAACTCAAACTTTCTGGCTGCGTCTTACCTTTAGCCCGTGTTAGCCCATCGTTGTCTTCTTTCTTCTGGTACAGTTGGTTCGCGGCATCTTATTCCGTATTATTCGATGCAATCCTAGAAAGTCTCCCTGCCCAGGACTTTCCCCTATCCATCACCTGGTGGACGCGCCTCATAGCCAGTGCACCCCAGTATGAAGAACAGAATTGCCGGAGAATAGAATAATATTAAAAAAAAATTTTAATAGTAAAAAACTGTCTAACTGGAAAGGCACCAGCCTACTTGAAAGAGATGTTAAACTCAGTTTCGAATGTTTCTGAAACAAATAGACAAAACACGGGGATCTTTTTTGTCCTTTGTTTAACACATCTCATTTTGGTGCAAGAAAATTTCCTGTAGCAGAAATCAAGACTCATTGACGGTTGACCTAAAAATAGTTACTTTTATATTTAAAAAAAAAATTTTTTAACAGATTTTGTCTGTCAGAGTTTGGATTTTTAAAGAAATAGAAAACAAGCTAAATTGGCCATGCAACATCTTTTTTTCGGAGAGTGTACGCTCTTTAAGCGTAACTTGATATAAACCACTATATCTAGCATCAAATTTAGTGATACTGCTTAAATTCATTTTTACCATTGGAGAAAATGAAAGTCAAATTTTTATTTGCTTTTTTATTTGCACACTATTAAAAAGCATTGTGTTTTAGTATTATGAATACAAGTATAGAATAAAATCAATTAAAAAGTGTGTTGGCAGATTTTAAATGTTATTTAAAGTAGCTTGAATTTTTTATTATTTAGCAATATTTGAAAAATGTTGTGATGCAAGAATAAAAGATTAATTAAAAGTCGAGATCAAAAAATTTCAATTCAAAAAGTCAGCTAAAAATAAAATTTTTTGAAGGCGTTGATGTTAGCAATTATTATTAATCTTCGACAGGCTTGTATATACATTAAAAAATTTTGATTCATAGAAGTATTAAGTTAAAAATTTTTAATTTGAAATAATTTTTTGAAATATGTAAAGTAGAGTTTTAATTAAAAGTTACAAATATAAGCTGCAACAAAAGGGCTCAAACATGTAAATGTTTTATTTTTAAATAAAACTTTTTGTTAGCTTGCAGTAAATTAAAATTACACTAGTGTTTAAAAAGTCAACCAATATACGAATAAACTACTGTTTTAAAGTAATTCAAGTAAAATTTTGTTAATGAAAAAATCTACAACTAAAAATATATTAAAAAATATATGTGAAAAATATTTTTTATTTGGAAATAGCCAACGATATTTTACTAAAATTTTCACCACACATTTTTACCAAGATTGCTCGGTTTAGAATGGATTTCTCATATAGTCAAAGTTTTCTAACTGTTGAAAACAAGCCGTCCGGCATTTGCGTACGGTTGAACTTGAGCTCCTGACCAAACAAATTTTTTATCTATAGGAACTCCTTGACAGGGTTGTCCAGGATAGGGAATAAACCCATTAACATTGATGTTAGAACGGTATGCACACGGCATCTATGATGTTATTTATGATGATATATATGATGATATTAAATACTTTAAAATAAAATAAAAAAGCTTACAATTGGTTTTGACTCTGCTTGAGTAGGCGAATATCCACTCACATCCATGGGAATAACTGTAGGAGAGGGTTTCACCATCATTGGATTAGTTTGATGTTGTTCATTTGAACATGGTTGTCCGCAACAGTAGCATGGCACTCCACAGCAATTACAACCCGCAAAATCGTCAACTGGCTGTTGTTTAACAACAGGAGTTTGACACGAATTACAGGCACAACATGTGTTTCCGCAGCACATAACTTTGCAGCACTTACATGAACTTGGTGGTGATGAAACTATTGGCTCAGGAGCCACCTGTTTTTCAATAAAAAAACAAAAATTAATGTGAAGAGTTGTTATCAAAAATTGACAATTATTTACAATGTATTTATTATTATTACTTGTTCTCTCGCCACTCCTGACACTTCATCATCGTCCTCGTCTACTTCATCATCGTTTTCGCTGTCGTATATATTGCAACATGTGCAACAGCCGCGAACTTGATGCTCTATTTCTTCTTCAACTTCGACTGGTTTATTGCATCTTAAGTTTAATGATAATAAATAAATATATATATATATCGTTATAAATAACATAGAATAACAATGATAATAAACAAATATATATATAAATGAATAACATAGATATAACTCCGGTCGACGACGAGTTGGTTTTATCCCAATTAAAAATTGCAACACGAAATAACTTTTAAACTATCGTTTTATTTATTTACATATCAACAATCAATGTTAATCAGTTAATTAACGTTAGATAATGTTAATCAATGTTAGATAAAAATTAGCGTTCACAAACTATCGCTCTCCGAATCACAATTCACTAAACGTATATCGGAAGGAAATACAATAAAAACACAACGCAGAGTCAAATGTGCTTTCGGCACTAACAATTAATATCCTGCACGCTTCTCGAACGTACTAGATAGTTCGCTGTCAGAAGGTTCCTGTTCTTTCTCGAACTTGATGCTCGTAGCGACACTAGCGGCCCTATCGAATATATTTGTGACAGTTATAACACTCTTTCAGTTCTGTTGCTCACTAACAGAGTTCGTTGCAATGTCTGCATAGAATGGAGTCACTCTGTTTAAATGAACAATTTTCATTCTCGCTCGCGACTTCCGATGTTAAATTCGGTAGACGATGTCATGTAATCTTATAAGGTTCTTCCCGATCTTTTTGTAGTTTTGAAAACCGTCCTCTTTTCGATGTAGGTTATACAGCCATATCAAATTTTTGGCGTTAAATCCAGCAGTACTTCCTTTTTGATGGTATAAAGTCTTGGTTGCTTCGCTTTCTTTTTCAACTTCAGGCGTGTGTATTGGTAGATGCTGTTTAACCGTTGACGGAGGTTGTCCACATAATTTGTTATTAATTGTGCGTGAAGCCTTGGGTGGTACGCCATATTTCATATCAGCTTTTAGTACTTTCACAATGGATATTTGATAAAGTATCCCCAGTGGTTGTGTGAATGGCACTTCTATATGCCAAGGCGAATAGTGGTATTGTCTATCCCAATTTTTTAGTCTGACCAAATGTTCAATAATTGTTTGGTTGAAATGTTCCACCATCCCATCTAACTGATGGCAAAGAGGAGTTGCTCTTGTTTTCTTATTAACCCCAAGATATTTTCCTGATGAGTCACCGTGCATTTCTTTGAAACTTTCAGTGATTTTATTGCTAGGTACCACAATCTGCATACGATGTTTCAATTCATCATCTGTTGATTCCCATTTACATTTAAGCAACCCATCTATAAATGTAAAGAGTCCCACTGAGCCCAAGTAGCTTTTCAACGACAAACCAACTCAAATATGTCTTGCCATTCAAGTCGCTGCAACGACATATTGTAAGTCTTCATCTGCAGACTGTGCGCTAGCCAGTTTATCCGGTGCCCATCCTGTCATCTGCCGTTATCGTAACTTTTCGTACATGTTCTATTTGTACTTCCTCTTCCAGTATTTGCAACCTAGTAAACAAGGTCGACAAAAAAGAGCGTCAGCCTTGTTGTGGGAGGTTCCTCTACGATGCATAAATTCAGTCGTACATTTGTTATCGTTCCAACCATCGTGCCACTTCATTCAGTTCATCCTGTTACGTTAGCAGTCTTTTTGGATCTTCGAAATTGAACAACTACTTTAACGCTGCATGATTTGTTCGAAGAAAAAACTTTTATTCGTACAGGTACTTGTGAAGATGTTTTGTTGCCATGACTATCAATAACAACTCTTTTCTGGTTACGCAGAAGTTACGTTCAGGCTTTATAAGACTTCCGCTATAATAGGCCAAAACGTTTTCTTCTCCGTCAACTTGTTGTGACAAAATCGCTCCTTGCGTTCGTATCTAGTACAAATAGTTTACCTCGGATTAGATATGCTATCATCACCTAATTCTCTTAATATAGTTGTCGTGCAATTTTTGCAAAAATCCTTTACGAAACATCGGAAGGGGGTAGCTTACAAAATATAAGGGGGTAACAAAAATATAAGTCAAAGCAACAAATAAAGGTATTTGTTTAAATGTGAATATACAAAACAATTCAAAGTAAGTACAATAAAATCCTTTGTGAGCTGTGCATTCACGCATTTCAACAAAGACTACAACAAGATAGCAATATATTTAAAAACAACAATGACCACGACATAACCATATGTTACAAAAATCATATGTCAAAAATCATAAAATAGACAAAATCGTCCTCAAACAAATCATAAAAAAATGTTACACCAATAAATGATACTAATAAAATGAAACTCCGGATACACTAAATAAACTGCATTGTTTAAAGAAACTATATAAACCAAACATACACTGAAGATGATTTATAAAAAAAATCGAAATAAGGCCTTAACTGCATGATGAATTCAGATAACAATTTCTTTAAATATTCATGATGAACTTGGATAATTCTATTTTCATCATTGAAAAGGTAAACTTTAAATTGATTAACGCCAAAAATTCTATAGAGTTCATACAAAACTGTATATATTGATGCAATATTTGACCGAATATCCTTATATCCTTTTTGGTAGATTTTATCATATATATATATATATATATATGTGTATATATATACAGTGTTTTTTTTAATAGATGCCATTACTCAGTGGCGGATCTAGACAACACTTTTGGCTGACGATTTCATATTTGATTAAATCTACCGAATATCTTCATATTGTTTTTGGTAGATTTTATCAAATATATATTTATTTAACTATATATACAGTGACGGTGACTTGTAGGGCCTTCGAGCTCGAGCTCATCTTGAGCCCTCTCAATATTTGAAAATAAATATTGAAAAAAATGTTTTTGTCTGTTCAAAATATCGCTAAACGCTCCCATAACGATGATGGTTCGAATTTTCAATGTCTTTTTTCAGAAGATTTTCAGAAGATAGTCCTGAATCACAGCAATGGCTTGAACAAACATCATATCAATGGACTTCAAAAGATATTCAAAATGAATTGTTGGAAATAATGTCGCATAGCGTTCTCAGATCTGTTATAAGTGATATTCATTAGAAAAAGTATTATGCATACTTTTAGACGAAACTTGTGATATTGCAATTAAAGAACAAGTCAGCATTCGCTTAAGAGTTGTTGATAATGAATTTATTTCCGAAGAATATTTTTTAGGATTTTATAATACGGACGCCACAGATGCTGGTACATTGCTCCAAATAATAATAATAAATATCATTTATAAAGCGCCAATACAAGCGATTGAGGCGCAAGTGACACTTTCAACATCTTGAAAGCGTCCCTGGAGCCACACGACACAGACAGGAACACGCCTGCACGCGAACCACCTCTTACGCGTGGGTTCTCCGACAGACGACCGAACATCGACACTACGTTGGAACATGATGAACGACGGCGGCAACCCACGCCCGATACCAATTTTGAAGGATGTTTACTAAGGTTCTATTTTGATATCAAAAATTGCCGAGGACAATGACGGAAATCTAACGTTTCTGGAATTCATAATGGAGTACAGGTCAAAGTCATAGAAATATCGCCGACTGCAATATTTGTCCTTTGCAACAACCACAATATTAGTTTGGCATTTCAAGATGCAATTTCTATGATGTTAGAGTGCAGAGATGCAATCCATTTTGTAAAAGAATTTGTAGCGCTTATCAAAGAATCTCCTATACGATTAGCTTATTTTTCCTTTTTTCAAAAAAGTAATGCTAATCATTGCGCCTATTATGTCCAACAAGGTGGACTATGCGTATATGTAGCATCAAGAGCGCTTTAAACATGACTTCTTTGCTAAACTTTTTTGAAAATCAAAGTTCTGTCAGAAATGAATATGGCACTAAATGTGCTGGTTTTCTCACATCATTTCATAATTATTTTGTGTTGTGCTGTTAGGTTCTCGTATACGATAGGTTGGAAACTAAGTCGAAAGCTTTGCAGTGTCCAACACTGTCTGTCAAAAGTACACAAACTCGTAGAAAGTCTAATGCTATCGCTTCAACAGAACCGATCCAATGAAATCTTTTCGTCTTTTTGGTTAAATACCGCTAATGATGCAAAAATATTAAATATTGAACATCCAAGTTTGCCCAAATTGTCCGAAGCGTTTTACCAATGGTAACGAAAACGTTCATGTATTTGACACTTAGCAATTATTCAAAAAAAGTATTTAGAGATTGTAGATGCCGCTATCTCTTCACTTAACGCTAGATTCAATTCTGATAGTTTCAAAAAACTTGCCGATTTGGAATCAAAAATTTTACATGCAGCAACAATTGACAGCAGTCACTTAAATTAAATTGCTGAATTATATCCAGAGGTGTCATTTCAACATTTTTCGCGATATTTGTAAGCAACGAAATTTACCTCAGTCACAGACATCGTCAACGTTTTAAAGATACAAACGGACACGGTTTGAATGAAAGAACTTTCTTGACTTAGAATATTTCTTACAATTCCTGTGACAACATGAAGCTCAGCTTCCATCCTTCGGCGTTTAAAAACTTATTTACGCTGAACATTCACTCAGCTAAGATTAAACCATTTGGCCATATTATATTGTTATGAATAACGCGCCCACAATCTTTCAATTGAGGACTTTTACAAAGAATTTACTTTTCAGAATGATTTGCGCAGAAAATCGTTTGCAACATGACTTTAATTTTTAACTAGATTTTTTAATGTTCGGGATATTTAAAAATAGAATTTTACTATTTACATTATATTGTTTAAACTTTTGACTTTTAAAATTGATTAAAAATTAAAAAGAAGTTTAAATTACAGTTTGAATAAAAATAATAAAAATAAAAATTTCGGTTATTTTTAAGCCTCCCAGTAATTTGAACTATTCGCCGCCTCTATATATATATATATATATATATATATATATATATATATATATATATATATATATATATACATACATATATACAGTGTTTTTTAAATTTGTGCCGGTACTCAGTGGCAGATCTAGACAACATTTTGGATGACGACCATAGAAATATTTTAAAGTATTACAACTCTTGAAGTGTGCAAAGTTCTTTTATTCTGCTTTGTCCTGTCCGTTTATTATATCTTTGTTTTGTATGATTATTATATTTTTATTCTGTTCATATTCTCTTTGCTAGTAAAGTCTTTCAATAATATTTTTCTGGTCGGTAATGATATTGCTAATCTTTGCTGCTTGCTAATTTGCTGTTGTCTTTGGTCAATTAAGATCGCTTCAGAAATTCTTAGATGGGTATGGTTCTTGTTACAAAACAGCTACCATCTAAGATATTATCAACCGTAAACTACAACATTTCAATAATAACAACAACAAACAAGGCGAGAATATAATTTTCTACTACAGAAACAACTTGTCAAGAAAAAGTATTTTTTTATTTGTTATAATTTTTTTTATAAAAATATAAAATTGTTTTATATATATATATTTTATATTTTATAAATAATTTTTTATATTTTATTTATTTTTTATACTATATATACTATAAAATATATACTATAAAATATACTAAAAAAAATAATATCCTAAATAAATAAATAAATGTATATATATAATATTTATTTTTTATATATACTATATGCATACTATAAAATATATACTATGAAATATACTAAAAAAATACTGTAAAATATACACTATAAAATTTGAAAAACTACTAAAAAACAAATTGTAAACAAACTCTCCACAACAGCAAGGATTGCATCCAATACAGCACTCGTTGACATATTTTGTGGTAATTTTCTTTTTTTGAGGTTCGACAACAGGACCGGAAGTTGTTTTTTTGTACAGTTGGCCTAAATCAACCAGAACTGGGTACTGAGCACGAGTCTGCATAGGAGCAGATGTTTGGGCTGGCCACGCTCCTATTAGATAAAAACTATCATTCAATTATCTTACATAAAATCACGATCACGATGAACCAATCAATTTAACATAATTAATTACTTATCCAATTTTGGTAAAAATGTTTCAATAATTTTAGTGGTGCGTTCTGAAGTCAAAATACCAAAAAATATTGTTCAGCAAAGTCTAAACAAAAATTTTACAATAGTTTTACTTAAGTAGTAAAGGCGTTTTGTCAGATTGTACTTTAAATAGGTGAATTAAAATTAAATAAGTCACGATAAAGCTTTTGTCATGGTTTTGCATTTTGTGGTTTTGCATAATGTGATAAATTACAAATAAGTAACATTAATGAAAAAACTGCAATACTATAACATTTCACTCATATAAAAACGTCTTACCAGTAGCAGGCAGCGCTGCATGGGGAGCTATATATGCTACCTTATACTGATACCCAAAATTTCCTGGAACGTTTACAATTTCTGGAGTAGCTTTGACACTATTTGTAGCGATTGGCACCACAGTGGGAGTTTGAATACAAATTGGCTGTCCTTCCAAACCACTACCTGCTACAAAATATCCCGTTGATGGCCGGCAGACTCCATTGGATGCCCATTGAGCAAAAGGAAAATTGTTTGCCATTTCTGTGATCAGTTGGTTTATTTACAGTTCAACTTGTTTAATAGAGTTAAAATAATTTTTTTTCTGAAAAAAAATAGTGGCACAATAAAAATACAATTTTTGAAAAAGTTACAAAAATGTGTTACCTTTGAACTAATTGTTTGAAATCAACATAAATTGGTTAGCATCTCTACTACATATTTAAACAAATTGGGTGTTTCGGTAGAATTTATCTAAGTCTCTTAAACTTGAAGGTGGTGCTTATAATTGAAGCGTGACTTGAAATAAAGCTGAACGCGTTACCTTAATGCTTTCGCAAGCTTCAATTGTTTCCATTCATGGCTTTGCATGTAGGCTTCATTAATGTTTATCAAAAATAATTATTATCCAATCACATTTATTAGATATTTTATTAATTTTCATTGCATTTTTTACTCAAATAATTTTTATCTAGTCAGAAAATGCTAGATTAAATGAGAATATTTTTAATGTAAATATTATTTCTTATCATTGACATGAATATTACATTTATGTCATTTATTACATTTACATGAATATTAACAGCAGAATAGTTTGCAGAACAAGATTTTGTTTTAAATAATGAGTTACAAAAATAAGCTACGTTTTGGCTACAATTATGTCGTTATTCTACTAAGTAATAGTATTTCAGCTTGACAATTGAAAATTTTATTTGATGCTTCAATGATTTCACGATTAAGCAAATAGGAAAATCAAATTGAACAAGTTTTAAAAATATATAATAAAATAGGTAAATTTGTCAGAAATTTTACTGTTTTTGTCGTTGTTGGTGTTTTGTTACGATTTTTTTCTATTTATTATTGATGTTGATGTGGTTATCGATTACCGTTGCTGCAATAATTGTTGTCGATGTTGGAAAAATAGTTGAAAATGTAAATCTTCTGTTCTTTTTCTTCTTTTTTTGCGTTTTCGATTTATAATAAAATTACGACGATGGTTATTATCATAGTGACGATGTTGATGACTATAAATTTTAATAACGGTAAGTTGATGATGTAGAAATGACGGCAACGACTTTGAAGAATTATATTTGTGGCGATAAATTATATTATTGACCAAAATTAAAAGTTACATGAGTTGTAAAATAAAAAACAATAAAGAAAAACATACCACAAACATACTCAGATGACCTTGGTCCTTCTTTTTTTTTTATCTCTGCTTTCACTTTCCTCTTCCGCCAAAACTCTATTTTTCCTCTTCCGGCAAAAATAATATGTTGTTTTCGAACCGGTGAGTTAGCATTTGGTTGATTCCAAACAGTTTGTCTTTTTGTTTTGTTGTTGACAATTTAAAGCCGGCATGATATAGGCTGTTGCTGATTTGGATCCGATTTATTTTGTCATTTGGAAAAAGTTGAACGTTGTTGTTGATGTTGTTGTTTTCAAAATGCACGTGTGTTGCTGTTTTGAAAAGGACATGAGCATGTCGTTTTGTTTTAAAACAGGCATGTATTTTTTGTTTTATAAAGAGGATTTGTCGTTGTTTTATTTTGTTATTTTTTCGTTTTGATGATCTCTGTCAAAGAATTTTGTAAAGATATAAATTCTTACCATGAAAATCGTTGATTATGTCATTGAACGTGTTTGTTTATGAGTTAAGAAATGAACTTAAAACATTCCTACAAGTGCAAGAAAAACTCATTTTAAGCATGTATTTTGAAACCAAAGCTTGGATTCAACAAGTAGCATACTTGTTCAACATATTTGGCCAGTTGAACAAATTAAATTTAAAGGCAGAGATATGAATTTATTTACGTTTAGAGACGCTTTTCATGCTTTTTGTTCCAAACTTCAAAACTGGCAACGTAAACTATGTCATGTTTGAGCACTTGAGCATGATTGAAGAATTGGATGTGTTAATTGTAAATGATTTAAAAATTGCAATTAAGAATCATCTCCAATCTTAGGAAAAAGAACTCCAACGTTATTTTCCAGAGTTGAGTAAATAAGATGCTGCAGTGGTAAGGAATTCATTCCATTCATCTATGAATATTGCTGATGTTCCTGATGAACTTCAGGACAAATTTTTAGAACTTAGAACTTCTGGTGCAATATTCCTATCCCAACGTTAGCAAGTTTTCTCTTGAAATATTAGTGCCTTTCCCTTCAACATATCGCTGTGAAAGTGAATTTTCAATTCTTGTATGAAGGCTAAAAATAAAATGAATGTGGAGATGACATGCGTTTGGCTTTATCGTGCACTCAACCAAAAATTCAGGACATTATTAAGAGCTTGCAAGCACAATCATCGCATTAATTTTTAACAATTTGCAATAAAATAAATTCACTAATCATTTCTTTTAAAATTTAAAGTATTCTTTTAGAAATTAATTAAACTAAAAAAAAATAAAAAAATTAAAGCCTTTCTAACAGTCAAGTTTAGTGAACAGAGCTTGAACCTTACTTATGACCGAACAAGGCCCGTAGCCAAGTTTCTTTGAGTGGGAGGCAAATTTTTTTCGGAGTGGGTAACTTTAAAAATGACTTCATTTCACATTTCTCATTTCATATTATTTTTTGCAAATATCAGTAACAATGATAATGTCAATAATAATTATAAAAAATAATTGCTATAAACTTTTTCTTTTTCAGTTCGAAATAGATTTATTACAGTCAACTCTAATATTTAGTACAGAGCACAATGAAATAGACCTACTTGAGTTTCAGATAATGCATATTAGTAAAACCCAGCTTTTGATTTATCTAATGCAGCTTTCCAATTTTGAAACGCTTCCTTTGTATATACTTCTTCTTTAGAAAATGAAACAAATTGACACTATGGATAATAAAACGCAGCGTTATATGCCGGAGAATATTCTAACCACCTGAAATGTTGAAACTATTTTGACCTGAAAAATTTGTTCTGATTATTTTAGGATAAGTAGAGAGAATAATTTGTTTGATTGGTTCACCTTATTTTGCTAATTTGTCTGCCGATACCAGAAAAACCAAATTTGTTTTTATGTCGCATCCATGATCAACTGACTGGCTCTCGTATAAAGTTGAATTTGCTTACATTTCGGTTTTGTTACGAAGTGATCCTTTTTAAATACTTTTGTAAGTCAGAAGACAAAGCGCGGAGCGTTGACAAATCGTAAAAATACGGTTAAGTAAAAATACGCTTTCGAAAAACAATCTAACAACTACCGAAAAGATTGCAGGGAAAAGAGATCGTGGTCAACAACGAATAACATTCGTGAAGTCCGTGTGTCACTTGTTGAATATCACCACATTTAAACTCTTACAAAATGTTAAAGATTGGGTTTTGTGGAAGTCGATGGTCGCCAATATCTTGAAAGGATAAGGCAGGAAGGAAGAAAAACTAGTTTAAATAAAACGTATTTATTATTTTAAAACTATTTATGATTTAAGAAAACATTAATTTTATGAAATTTTAGCATGAGGCAACCGGTCTTTTAGGGTGGGCACTGTCTGGTTCCCCCTAGCTATGGTCCTAACTAAACAATACCAAATCCGAACTTTGCATACAACCGAACCTAACCAAACTCGAGCTAAACAGAACCAAATCTGAACTTTGCATACAACCAAACTTTGCATACAACCGAACCAAACCAAACTCAAGCTTTCAAACTGCTAAGTACAAACCGAACTGCCCTTAACCGAGTCAAACTTGCTGTGTTGTCAGTATTGTAGTGTATTGTACTGTATTGTAAAGTATTGTATTGTACTCTAACGTATTGCTATATGCAAATGATTTGAAGCGAGAAGAATTAAGTTTTTATCGCTTGGACCACCTGATTAATGTGAATGTCTTGTTTAGATTTTATTTACTATTTAATAGTGCAATCGAATTTTATTTTGAAAGCACAAAAGTTTTAATTTTTTTTCAGATTTTCGGAATCGAGGATTTCGATTAAAGCTATCTTATCATATGATATTACACGTAGATCGTATGTTTTTTGTTTTTTTATTCAGTGTTACAATTTGTATTTAGTTTTTTTTATCTAACGTAGGTGCTAAATGTGAATTTGTAGTGAATTTCAAAAAATGTTTTCACTAGTTTATGAAAAGTTTATAAAAATTTTGGCATGAAATTAATTCATGTTTATAATGTTGATAACGTTTAATCCTTAAATTATTTATTTAATATTTATTGTTCGTATAAAGTATAGCATAAAATACTTTCACCGTTAATTGCCAAGTTCGATTTAAATATTTGTTGCCATTTATGCTGTGGTATCGAAAGCTGTTCGTCTTATGAAAGTGTTCATGGCAGTTTATTGTCAGTTGTTTTTTCAATTGTAAACTTTAATTTCGATAAATTTAGTCGTTGTAGAAGTTTTTCTATTCGATCATCTTCATCGTATGTAACGAATGTATCGGCAATAAACTATCTCCTAGACGTATATAGCCAAATAGTCATGATGAATTCATAAACTCTATATACACCAAAGCAACAAACAAAGGTTTATGTCTTTATGGAAATAGTGAATGTTGTCAAACATAACTAGAGAGCACGATCTTTGCTTTTGTAAACCGAGCTTATACGCACTCTTCTGATGTAGGAAGCAGGAGAACAGAACTAGATAGAGTCACTAAATTACTCACTAATAATGGCTATAAAAATACATAAAAAAAAGAGCCAAAAATCAGCAAACAACAACAATGCAACTAACAATAACAACAAAAATAACAGTAATATATTATAACCACATGCCAACAGCTTTCGAAAAGGATGAAAAAATCATGAAAATAATAATAAAAATTACGTTCAAGCAACAAACGAAAACGATAGTATTAAACTAATACTTACTACTCCAACCAAAGAACGTCATTTCCAGTGATTGCAACTGCACTGGTAAACCAGAATCGATAATGGATCATAGTCATCTAATACATTTGTACCAATAATTTGCACCATAATTGTATGACGACGATAAAGCTATCGAGAAGACTCACGATGCACGAACAAACCGGTACACCACTAAAACTATTAGGCAAATCTTGGACAAGAATGTTAAA